ATGGATCTACTGATAATATAGGATCATGTTTATCTTGACAGTCAGCAACTCAAAGTTTGAGAGCAAAGCATATTAAGAGGACATACAATCTTAAGCCGTATCGCTCTCCTCTTGTCCAGGGACTTCAGGAGTCTGATGATTATGACAGGCGTTTAACGTTCCTTGCACAAATGACGATTTGGGAGGCTGAAGAAAATGTTCTTCCATATTCTATGGACTGATGAATCCTATTTCACCTCCAATCGCATACTAAACCGTTGGAATTTTCGAACGTGGGCATAGAAAAATTCTAGAATTTCGTACTCTTATCAATATCAGGGGGTTCACAGTATCAACGTTTGGTGTGGACAAAATAATTTAAGTGGTCCTCAGGTACTCAATTTTTCGAGGGAAGTTTTACCAACATATTAAATAATGTTCCTCTGCAACGACGACAAAAAATAATTCTCCAGCTTGACATATCCTCCGCACACAATTCTTCGCAGGTGAGACGTTATTTGAACCGTCACTTCCGGGATGGATAGAAACTCATGGCCCGATCTGTTGGCCTCCTCGGTCACCGGATTTAATGCCATTCAACTATTTTCTGTGGGGCCATTTAAAAAAGCAGTACTCGACGCCAACCCAGCAATCTCAGTTAAAGAACTGCGGCAAAGGATAGAAAATGCTTGTCAATCCTCCCCTGACTCTATCGCTCAGAGCACTGTTGAAGAGGAGTTAATAAGAGCAAATCTTTGCATCTTTACGCAAGGCAGGCAGTTCGAACATAAAATTTGTAAATAATTAGCAAACCAAATGACTGGTGGTTTTTTTTTTTTACTTTTTGCCATAACATTGCACTTTTTTGACAAATTTAAAATCCGATTGCACCATTGTTTCAGGGTAAAACATCCTTCAAAATGATGTGACAGGATGTATAGGATCATATTTGAAATTTTGATGTAGAACTGGGCCTGAGGTACCCTGTATAATTTTTCTCCAAAAAAGTAAAAGTTTGAAATTAGAATAAAAAATATTAAACACGGATTGTATGTTTTATTGATAGCGTCATTGGTTCAAGAGAAATTCAGCCGGGCCGGCTAAAAAGGACACCCTACAGAATGCAGAAAATGTGAATTGTGGTTTTTTCTCTTTTGTTGTAGCCTCTTGTTTTCTGTAATATTTGTCTGTAAACTATAAACAAACGGCGCAATGCAGTTGTCTTTATACAGGGTCAAAAATATAACAAAAAATAAATGTTTTTTGGAGTTTGAACTGCTGGGCTGGAGTCAAAATTCGTCTCGAGATACGGGTTGTCGCGGGCGTGTCGAAAGTTCGATCGTCCCGATTTCTTTCCCACAGGTACAGTTTTTTCCCTTCATTCCGTCAGGAACGAGAAGTAATCATTCTTTGGATGAATAGTCAGCTTATTAGATTAGATCGGACAAAGCGCCTGATCTGCATAGCGTTCGGAACGAAACGGTAATTACACTCCTACCCGCAGTTCCTTTTTAAAGGAAAAAACGTTTCAAAGAGAACCGGGGAAGTTTAAGGTCCGAATCGGAGAAAAAATACATTTTCCTTATACTTTTTTAAAGGAAAACAAGATTTTTGAATATTTGTTTATCGCTGATATTTCCTTCGTATATCGGTGTTGATGTCTCTCGACAAGGACAAACTGTTTGACTCTCAAAGATTTAATTCCTGTCATTACAAGTTCTCGTGGGACAAATCCCGATGTTTATCCAACCCGCCATGTGTCATTAGATGGGAGATGAAAACATTCTCACGCACCACTTGTGCCCCGGGGAGACATAACAGTATCTCTACTTTTTGAAAGCGCACTTGAGCCCTTTTAATCCATTTTTTTGTCTCGATTGTCTGAAACAACTCATTGTGAAATCACCGCAGGCTTTTCGAACTGCCGACTCATTTTGCAGACCGGCCGCGGCCTACGGAACGGAAGTGCGCTCGCTCTTTTCCGTCACGGTTCCCGATTGATTATTTTGGTTTACGGACAATCGGGTATGCTCCGATTTTATAAAATGGGCTTTAATCTAAAACATTAACCCCAGACAATGGAAAACTGAAAATAACAGGTTTCGGTTCTCCAACAAGGCACGATTTAACTGGTGCTTAAAAAATCCCAAAGGATCTTTCAACTGGTTTAAGAGTCATTCGAAACCTAAAGAAGTTAGAAAAAAAATCTTTATATAAGGTATTGGTTGAAAAGAAAAAGTTAGTGCCACGAGCGAGATTCGAACCCAAGACCTTCGGTTAAATATGCCATTGCTCTACCACCTGAGCTATCGTGGCTTCGAGTCGAAGGTCGTGGGTTCGAATCCCGCTCATGGCATTAACTTTTGCACTTCAACCAATACCTTACATAAAGATTAATTAATTGAAAGAAGTCATTTGGTCAATCGGACCACGAAATATAATGGATTTAGAAAAAAATGCTCAATAAAGCTGACAATACAGTTTAAAGTAGAAATTTATCTTATGCCCTCTTTATTATCGAACAATAAACTTTTTTCTACCTCAACCACGGTTTATGGAACTTCGAAAATCTAATAAAGGAGCGAAGAAGAGTTTCTCACAGGGGATGCAAATACGTGAGGCTCGGTGTCGGGGGCAATTTCCGATTCTCCACAGAGACCGGCCCCAATCAGCGTTTCCATTAGCTGGAATCACGTCCATTTGCATGGCTCTCGATGAAGGTGGACAGATCCGATATGGGAAAGCCGTCTTTCTTTCGGGGCCTTTCTTGCCGGTAGAACACGCTATGAAATCGGACCTTTGTCCGAAACTGTTCACACGAAGACTCTAATTCGACCTTAACCAAACACAATTTACCTACTATTATTACCATGCATTCATCAATAAACAGTTTCTTCATGGGATGTCTTTTTTCTTCACGTACACAAAGATCGAGTTTATTATTTTAAAAAAAATTAAAAATACTCAATGAAATCTATGTTAAACATTAATTTCTGCCGACTGACAATTGATTAAATCTAAAAATTATAGTTTTCAAGGTTGTTAATTTTAAGTTAGCTTTGCTTATTTAAATGATAATGATGTATGTAGTTAAATCAGCACCAAGTCATCAAGCACAAGAAGATAATCTTCGAGAAGCATATAAGTTGGTGTAACCTAAGGTTGATTTTCGAGAAATGGAAGAACGCTATTTTAACAAATAATACAGAAAAGTACCTTGCCAAGTTCAAATTTTTCATTGGGCAACTTTACAGATGGCAAGGTCTAAACTAGGCATGAATTGGCTATGGTCAAGTCCATGAAAAATGGGAAGTTATGTATATATAGAATAAGACTATTTCTTCTTGTGGATCTCAAATTTCTCGTGGAATTAAACATTCCACAGTCGGTGGCCGCTACGTTTTAGGCATTGACCGCCTGATAAAAGTTAGATAAAAGCCCTGCATTCGAACCCGAAAAATGTGATTTTTTTTTTAATGCGGACATCGCTAGGACTGATTATTACAAGTGATTATTTGGAGATCGTGAGATGCTAAACACCACACATTATTACAAGTACATATCTGATGTTTTGTTTAAACAGTTGTCAGACTTCTGGGTCTGGACACTCTCCAGTTCTGTACTTCCAGCTTGGATTGGACTTTTTGCAACTTTTCATATAATTTTAGTTGTTTTGGTCGGCCAAACCGAGTTGTAATAACAGAACGCGTCTGGCCAAATCAGCCAAAAACGACCAAACTGCAGAATGATGTGTTTAACCTTCTCGCTACCATCACCCGTTTTATTCCATTGTTTTGAATTGTTTTCTTTGAGGTAAAAGGCGTATATTAATACTTGCTCCCAGTTATTTACTATCTGGCAATATATCGAGGGGTCCGAATAGACAATGGGGACAAAGCAGATGTGCTTCCCATGCGAGTGCCCCTTGCATACTCTCCTTCCCCACCACCCACTTGTTATTCAATGGCCAAATGTCGGCCTCGCTTTCACAAAACAGGTTGACAGGGCCATTTAAAAATTCATAATCCTCAGGAGATCACGATTACGACCCGAGGCGAGCGATAGCAGACAGTTAATTTGTACAATCGTATCTAGAGTTGTCTTCCGTCAATTTCCTTCAGAGAACGATTTCAATACAAGGATAATGGTAAAACCTGACAAGCAAAGTTTCATTACTTAACTTGTATCCTTCTTGTTAATTTGTGCGTGACCGAGCCCGCTTGTGAAGCCGTAATTCTACATTAAATACATATAAAAAGTAATCTGTCAATTAATAAAATACGATAAAATTCAGTAAATTAAAAAAAGTAAATGTTAATGAATACAAAAAAATAAACAATTGTCACTGTATCATACATGCTAAATTGTGTAATGAGCAACAGAGAAAAAACTCAGTTCCCACGAGCATCATGCTCGCCCGGCATGTTAGTCCTAATGCAAAACAGTCAACGCGAATTCCGTTCATGTTCTTTTTCCAATCATGACGTAATTTCATTCCATCTAGTTGATTAGCGAAATTAACACCCAACAAGTATTTCTATCTGCTTTGAAGAGAAAAAATATCGTCGCATTTCTTTTTACAAGTTAAACCATTTATCGGACCCTATCGGCTTTCTATCACATAACTTGTATATGTATAGTTAGCGTGATATACTCACTTGGGTGTCAGAGGTCGGAATAATTTAGAAGAGTAGGATGAAACAGGTTGTTAAAAGCAAGATGGTGTAGCCGGGGCTCCACCCACGCATTAACGATTGATATCTTCCAGAATAAACATATATCGTGAATCCCCTTTTGGAAGAACATGGAATCGCTGGTTATAAATAAGAATGAAAGTGAACGGTGGCGGATATTTAAGACAATTAATTTTAGAACTCGATTTCGGTTTAGAAAGGGATAACGGCTGTTTTCAGATATATATATTTTCTTTGTAAACTCATTGATATTGTCCAGACACGAATGGACGTCGTGGAACATAATTTTGTCTTTATGGCTTTTTTTCTAAATCAACGGCTACTTACTTGCAGTACGATTCCCCTCGAGGAGCGGACACACACGCCCCGCCGTTTTTACAGGGGTTCGGTGAGCACGAGATAAATCCTGAAACAGAAAACAAAACATTACATTAAGCACATTTCCAAACCATAAGTGCTATTTGTTAAAGTATAAAATTATAAGCAAACAATGAGGCGTGTTGGTCCATTCCACAGATGGGCACTCATTGGTCATATGCATGTAGTCCTTCTAACAGAAAAATTTATAGACTTGCGAGAATAACAATCCATATCAAATATCATCATTTTTATATTATATTTTCCGAAATTTATATACGTTAAGCTCGCGTTAAAAATGGTCAATTACTTTTTGTTCAAACCACGCATATCGGCATATAGAGAAAGGCTGCTCTATGTGCCCACCTAATTGAAGTGTACTACTCCTTGTCTCTCTATAGAGAGCGTGTAGGATTGCCAACCGATATGAGAATCGTGCTTGAACACGGCAGCGAGTATCTGGGTCCCCTGTTCCGATTTTTGTAGAAAGCAGGGTTATTTTATCATATTAGTAACGATCGGTTTGGGTTTTGGGAGTGAATGTGTTTATGGTATGAATGTGTAGCGTGAGAGGGTAAACGGCGGAAAATTGATCGACTCTCAATTAGGTTAGTTATTATATGAATAGAGGGTGATGGAGGAATATCAAGTACTCCACAACCCTCAATGAATGGTATGTAAATAGGAGAGAATGTGTTTAAGAATGAGTGAGAGTGTGAATGGGTTTGGATCTGGGGACTGCATGCATTGGTGCTGAATTGACCGGCTACCAACACCCAACGAGGGTGATCCTCCAGACCTACCGGTATGTTGTTGTAAATTGCAAAAGCTGGACTTGCCGGTGTGCTGCGAGAATTGATAGACTCAAATCTATTATGTGTGTATATATGTACATGAGCTAAAGCCAAATCCAAAGCTCGCGTTAATATAAAAAATATAAAATGAAAAGCGGAAGCATATCCTGCTTCAATATTAATTAAATAATTTAATTAAAAGGGTTAAGTTTAAGTTTTTCACCCCAAGTTTAAAATTTAAGTCTTATTAATGTAATTGTAAGTCGAACATAAGATTAGAATGTATGAAGGCGAGAGTCTGAAACATCTCTCTAAATTTGTATACTTTGTAAATAAATTTATTATTATCAACAGTGAGAAGTTTCTTATCTTCAATTTATGTTCATTTAGCCAAAAAACAAAATAAATGATTAAGTAGGCAACCCCACTGAATCGGTTTTGTTATTAGGTGGCATCACAAACCAGTCTAATTTCCCATTATACATGGTTTCAAGCCATATTATCAAAAACGGGGAATAATTAATACCCAGAACTTTTTTATTGCCGCTCCGGTGAAAGTGGTTAATAACCGAAAAAAGCCAACAGCTCCCAATAATAAGAAAATGTTCTTTAAAGAGCTTAAGAGCCGTCCTGTTTAAGAGAGTTTAATGGTGGATCAGAAAAGAAGTGGGCCTACCTCCCAAACAAAACAAAAAACACCTTCATGAATAAACACAGGCCGTTTTCATTACACAAACCCTCCCGACAATTAAAACGTGGTCAAAGAGAGGGCTGACCGCCTCGAATAAATTATTCCACCTCGAATCGAGGAGGGCGAAGGAATTTGTAAGGATCTTTGACCCAAGTTGAGTCATTGCGTGCCGGCAGATGACGAGTTTCCGCTCTGATGTAATAATACCCAATTACCAGAGGGTTTTCCATCTTAAACCAAACTTATATACAATTCAACCGTAATTTCACGACGGTAATTACTGAATTTCCCTCCTCTCGGGGGCATTTAACCACTATTGTTGCAGTAGTTATGACAAAATGTTGTGGATTGTATTTTTTCCTGAATATAATGGTTCTATTATAAAGAATATGCCATTGTCCATATAAACATAATAACAACAATTAGCAAACCTTTCTGCTTTGGTTCATGCAAGACGAACATTTACCTTACGATTTGACTATGTACTTTTATTTCTTCAAAGATCCTGAATGCCATAAGGGAAAAGGTCATATAATCGGAACCCACCAAACTACAAGTTCATCACCCCGCAGACCCCCAAGGACATACTTATCTCACCGAAAAATTAATACTTTGGCCGTTTCCGAACATCCTGGTCGAGCTATCCTCTGATTTGGTCAGAGATTGTATACATTTAGTTTATTGGCACAACCTTTGGTTCATACAAGACAAAAATTTACCTACGATTTTATTTTAAAAATTTATCTGTGTATTTTTATTTAACCAAATATCTTGAATGTCATATGGGAAAGGTCGTGTAATCGGAAACCACTAAACTATAGATTCTTCACCTCACAGACCCCAAGTACATACTAATCTTCATAGAAAAATGAATATATTGGCCGTTTCCGAACATCCTGAGCCTATCCTCGCTGATTTAGTCAGTCTTGCTTCGTAATATTACCATACCCCCCATTTTGTTTATAGGCACAACAATGATAAAAGCGAGATGACGAATCATGTCTGACAATACAACCCTGGACGTTCAAACTGTCACCACTTCACACATAGCAAAATACCTCACAAGAAAATAATCCTTCTAACCTTACATTTGACTGCTTTAAAGTTAGAAAAGTACTCTTCAGAGTTTTTTCAAGCTGAGAAAACGAACTTGAGCTCTTAAAATTACTCGAGGGGCAAAACGGAACTTGGAAGAAGACTGCGCGGTCCTTGTCATCCACTTTTCGTACCGTCAAATCAGATGAGATGATTGAACAACATTCTGAGAAGTCATTGTGCTTAAGACGTTGAGTTTTTCGAAATTTAATACATTCAAATTTCCTAATATAGTCAAAAATATAAAATGAACAACGGCCGGCCAATGTTTTTATAAATGAATACAGCTATGGAGAACACTAAGGCGTGCATGGTAAATGTTTTCTCGTTATAAATTTATTTGAGGGTGTTGGGCGGAGCCAGGCATGCTAGCCCAAGGTGGTTCCCAAGCCCAAAGCCCTCTGGCGACCACGGACCTATGGGAACCTTGGCTCCTCTCAACCTTTGTACCAAACGTACCACCATCATCGAATAAACATTCTTTAAATCCTTTTCTCAAGGAATTGGAAACGTGTTCACTAGTTTCAAACCGATGAGGATAACCAAATGAAGTATTAGCTGTGAATCTCAAGTATCACAGGAGGAATAATTCAATAATGAACTTACAAACGAATGTGTATTATAAAATTTGTATTAATTAAAGAACTATACGAAAAAAATCAAAGTAAAATTTCGTTGTGAGGACAGACGCCAAAGGAAACTGTCCCCTTGTAGGGGCAGGGTGGCGAGTACAAAGCATCCCCATCTGTCGTTTTTTTACGCAACGAAGATTCATCAAGTTATATTCACCCTCGCATATGTCTGGGGTGATGGTCTGATTGATAAATTTGTATTGTACTTGCTCAGAGTATAATGACGGCGTGCGCAATCGTGCTCGCTCCATGTACGACGTTACACAAAGAGAAGGTTTTAACTCCTTTATGTCTAAGGTGAACAGGCGTTCACCTAACGCGTTGAATTTTCTTCGCAGCGTACGCAAAGAAAATTAGCGATGAACATAATGTACTTATTTCAAAATAGGATAACTTCTTCTATTCGAAAATCCTAAAAATCAAATTATCCTCCTCACAAGTTTCTACGGTATTGTAGGTTTTTAATTTCCATCGAGTACTATACATTTTAAGTAAAAGCTTCAATGAGTAAAAGCTGTTTTAAACACTCGTTTAACCATTAACCTAATTTTTTAATAGTTTTCTCGCAGTATTTTAAGTAGATCAAGTTCTACGCAAGCATTTTTAGCTACATTTAACGATTTTAAATTCTTTCTCTACAGTATAATTCAGCAATTTCAGCAACAAAATATAAATTTCCCTACTATAATTGGTAGGTATATTTTCTTGCAATCAAACGAGCAACATCAACCAACTTTGATTATGGTGGAAGGAGCGAATACATCTTTACCTAAGTCTGGAGGCTGAATTTCATTGTTATAATTTCAACCTGAGCCAATGAAAAAGAAAGGGAGAAAAATGCAAAGAGGGAGAGGGAAACGGAGGGAGGGGAGGGAGGGGTGAGAGACGGAGTGAAGGAGTAACAGATAGATATGTGGGACTTCGGAAGGAAGGAAGGTAAAAAGATAGAGTGGAGAGACAGAAAGAAAAAGAAAACAAAACATAGGGGTGGCAAGAGAGTGGAAGTGTAGTAAGAAGAGAAAAAAGTTCGTTGATGGGGAGAGAGAGGAAAAAGATGGATAGATAGACAGAAAGATGATAGATAGATAAAGAGAGAAAGAGTGAGACAGAGAGCAAGAAAGAAGGAGAGAGGGGCCGCAACGATAGAGATAGAGATAGAGTGAGAGAGAATAACGATAGAGAAAGACCAAGGAAGAGGGAAAGAAGTGACGAAAAGGAGAGAGTAAAGAGGGCTAAAAAGATTTATTGTTTAAAAATGGCATAAAAACTTGAATTGGCTTTAAATCGTATATAAAGTATATAATAAATAAAACAATAGCGTTTCAGTATCTTTTTTTTTTATGTATTACTTTCGATATAAAACATATATAATAATGCTAAACACACAATGTGTGTAAAACTGAACCAAAATAAAGTGAAATGTGGGTAATATTAATAAATAAAGGAGGTTCAATTATGGAATTCTATAATTTCAATAATTCATTGAGAATAATTCTTGAACTTGTTTTGAAAATCATAAATATAGAGGTATTCCTGATTAAGTCGTTAGGTCGTTTATATGAATATTTGTGATTTATTGTTACGTTTATGTTCTCAGGACATCGTTTTATTGGGTTAATATTATAAATTTGTAATAAAAAAAAGATTCAGCTAGAGACGGTCTCGTGTGTACCAACAGTCCTGCGAGAAGGGCTTATCGAACCTCAGTTCAAAACCGGATTTCTTCCCCACCTGAATAAAAATGAAAACATTTGATTATAGACGGGGTTGGATGAAGCGAAAGAGAGAAAAATCTACAGCTATTGAGGGCATATTGCCATTTTACAGGGGGATCGAG